TATTGTTATAATCCTGGTCCTGGTTGTTATAATCATGGTCCTGGTTGTTATAATCCTGGTCCTGGTTGTTGTAATCATGGTCCTGGTTGTTATAATCATGGTCCTGCTTTGTTATAATCATGGTCCTGGTTGTTATAATCGTGGTCCTGGCTGTTATAATCATGGTCCTGGCTGTTATAATCCTGGTCCCGGGTTGTTATAATCATGGTCCTGGTTGTTATAATCATGGTCCTGGCTGTTGTAATCATGGTCCTGGCGTTATAATCACATCCTGGTTGTTGCGTAATCATGGTCCTGCTGTTATAATCCCGGTCCTGGTTGTTATAATCATGGTCCTGGTTGTTATAACTGGCGGTCCTGGTTGTTATAATCATGGTCCCGGGTTGTTATAATCATGGTCCTGGTTGTTATAATCGTGGTCCTGGTTGTTATAATCATGGTCCTGGTTGTTATAATCATGGTCGTGGCCAGTAATCATGGTCGTGGTTAGTTGGTAACCGCGGTCGTGGTTGTTATAATCATGGTCGTGGTTGTTATAATCGGCGGTCGTGCTGTTATAATCATGGTCGTGGTTGTTATAATCATGGTCGGGTTGTTATAACTGCGGTCGTGGTTGTTATAATCATATCCTGGTTGTTATAATCATGGTCCTGGTTGTTATAATCATGGTCCTGGTTGTTAGTAATCATGGTCGTGGTTGTTAAGTAATCATGGTCGTGGTTGTTATAATCATGGTCGTGGTTGTTATAATCATGGTCGGTTGTTATAACTGCGGTCGTGGTTGTTATAATCATGGTCGTGGTTGTTATAATCATGGTCCTGGTTGTTATAATCATGGTCGTGGTTGTTATAATCATGGTCGTGGTTGTTATAATCATGGTCTTGGTTATAATCATGGTCGTGGTTGTTATAATCATGGTCGTGGTTGTTATAATCATGGTCCTGGTTGTTATAATCATGGTCCTGGTTGTTATAATCATAGTCGTGGTTGTTATAATCATGGTCGTGGTCGTGATACTTGCAGTATCTAATATACTATAGGAAGGAATAGAATAAAGGTTAGAATAATTAGTTCAAGAAATATTCGCCATAAGGAGAGGTTAAAATCATAAAAAAATGATATTATGAAGAGAAGTGACCTTGATTCTGGTGTGATTAGTCACCATCTGCTTAAGTCATCACCTGTGTTAAGTCATCATAGTCATCATGTACGTTAGTCAGTTTTAGGCCCATCTCGCATGACTGACCCACCATCGATGTTCTTTCCGCACGAGGGTGTTAGTTTTCAATGCGTCTTATTTTTTACGCTGGTGGATGTAAGACCTCCGACACTCACTGACGCAGTTATGGTCAATTTGGTGTTATTCTTGTTTATAAATGCCTTCTAATCTGTCTCAAGTCTATCCGTCCTGTCTATTGCCAGTCAGCTGTCTGTCTGTCATGTTAGTTGCCATATTGTCTATTTGTGCATGTATGAATCTGTCTATTTTTGTCAACCTCCTGTCTGTTTCACTGTCTATATTTACCCTGTGTCTATTGTAGTCATCTTCTCCATGTATTTCTGTTATTTTCTTTTTATCTCTTCTCACAGGAATAAGCATACACTGTAGCTGTAAGGTCGTCTGGTAAATTTGAAACTGCGCATCCAGACGCATGATGAAACTCAGCTCGCCCCCACCTGCTATCTCTAACTATTTTCTGTTTCCCCTTCTTTATTTGTTATTCTATTTACTCATTTTCCTTCCTTTACTAATCCGGACAACATTAAAAAAAAACGTAGGCTCAGAAAAAAGTGGCGGGAGGAGGAGGGAGCCGAATACCATAACTGCAATCGTGGGCTGGGTGCGCCAAGTCCGTAGACTTGCATCGTTTTCCAGCGTAAATAAAATGGTTATGTATTGGCTTCCTAAAGAAACCATCGATATGGGACCAGGTTTGTTCCACTGAACAAATTTTTTTGCGATTTTTCCACCAAGTTTGATGAAAAACGATTGTGCCGTTTCGGCTGCCCAGAGCAGACACACACACACACACACCCCTAGTGCTATAGTATATTAGATTACTCTGGATGATAGACTGTAAATAATGTACAAATGTTATAAACCCACATTTATATAATATTACTGACTTTATATTTGACAGAGGCTAATGCAACCGTGTGTGTGCGATAATAATAATAATAATAATAATTAACGGTTTATTGAAAGAGCTTGGCAGCCAGAAGGCTGAAAATATGCAGTTACATATTTGGGGAATGGGTTTCGAATTACAAATAATATACAAGTAACATAAGTGACACAAATAAGACATATAATAACTAGATGGGGAAAAGCTCAAACTACAGTTCATTTCAACATAGTGACAGTGCAAGGAGTAGTGTTTACTGGGAATTGAATACACTGGTTTATTACAAGTTGATAATTTTTACAATGGTTGGGACTGGGCTGTTCTTATAGCGATCAGTTCGTGCACGTATGGGCTGGATGCGATTGTGGTGTCGAACAGCAATTCTCGGGCTAGGGATCTCAGGTGGTAGTAGGAGCCGGTGTCGAGGATGGTGTAGAAGCTTCTTACCAAATTTGCAGATGAGGTCGTGGTGATGGTCAGTGAGAGTCGAAAGGGTCAGTGTGTTGAGCGCTTCTTGATATGTGGAGTAGGAAGGGGAGAGAATAATCTTGCATGCCCTCTTTTGCACTTTTTCTAGGTGTTTACGTTGTGTGGCATTTAGGGAGGAAGACCAGGTGGGGGAGGCATAGGTGAGCTTGGGAAGTATGAATGTTGTGTAAACACTGTGGAGCTCGGGTGCAGGAACTCCGAGGGACTTCAGTCGGCGGAGGAGGTGGAGAAAACTGGAGGATTTGACAACTTCACTGACGTGTGGTTTCCAATTTAGTTTGTTGTCTATGGTGACGCCGAGGAGCTTCGTGGAATCTACAACCTGGAGTGTGTTCGGACCTAGAGTAATGAAAGGAGGTGGGACAATGTCGGAGAGGTTGAAGGGCGGTATAGTTGGAGCAGAATTTGACGCTGATCCCAATGGTGAGTCGTCGACATATTTCCAGCGAGCAGGGGTTTCTCTTAGGGCATCATTGATGAGCATAAGGAAGCAGAGTGGTCCCATCTTGGTGCCTTGGGGACGCCAGGTGAGTGACTGAAAGGTGGAGACAGCCCTCGGAAGCGTACAGCTTGGCGTCGGTCACTGAGGAAGTCTGTAAGCCATGGTATGAGACTTCTCCGAAGCCCGAGGTCAATAGCTTTGTTTATGATTATATTGTGGTCGACTAGGTCGAACGCTTTAGTGAACGAAGGCGACAGCCAGACGTTTTTCGTTTCTCGAGATGGCGGTATATGTAATCGAGAAAGCTGACAAGACAGTGAGTGGTGGAGGAAGTTTTCATGTTGCCAAATTGCTGAGGGTCTACGACTCCGCAATATCAGCATAAGCCCAGTCAAACACAAACTTTCACAGATTAGGCTGGGTATTGGGGTGATTGCAATAGGTCGTAGCTGATTTAAGGATTGTGGGCTGGTTGACTTGGGCACTGGTGATACATAAGAGGTCTTCCAGTCAGCTGGGCATCTGGCTTGACTGAGAGAAGCATTGATGATGGAGCAGAGGGGTTTAGCAAGCCTGGGAGAACTCCTTGAATAGTTTCATTGGTAAGTCAATGGGGTGGTAGAGCGTTTAATTTTAGTTTGTCCAGGCGTTTTGCTGTCAAATTTCTACTAAGTCAGTGGGAAGGGGGCTGGTAGGTAAGCAGGGAGAGTGGTTGTGTCAAGCCGTGGGAGCGTCTGGCATATAGTAGCGAAATGGTTATTTGTTTGCTCAGCTGCGTCAACATTAGTGAGATGGCTAAGAAGGAGGGGTGTGTCATGTTGTTTAGTCCACAGAGTTCTTTAAGCTACCATACCATTGACTGATGTTCGTTTCAGGTGTTGTAATTGCTGGGTAGTGGGACTTCTTTGCAGTGCGTATTTCGCGATGACTCTGTTGCGAAGTGACCTGTAGCGGATGTGGTCATTGAGATGAAAGGCTCTGTCTCTGTTGCATAAGTCTTTGATCCGAGGTGTGATCCAGGGGTCAGCTGGGTGACATTGACGGACTTTCGGGAAGAAGTGGTGTGTGTGTGTGTGAGCGCGTGCGCGCGCGTGGTCACTAATACAGTGTGGTGTTGGCAGGTGGGTGTGGTCACTAATACAGTGTGGTGTTGGCAGGTGGGTGTGGTCACTAATACAGTGTGGTGTTGGCAGGTGGGTGTGGTCACTCACAGTGTGGTGTTTGGCAGGTGGGTGTAGTCACTAACAGGTTTGGTGTTGGTAGATTCAGATTAATGATCACTAATACAGTGTGGTGTTGGCGGGTGGGTGTAGTCACTAATACAGTGTAATTGTTGGAGAATGAGTGTGGTCACTAACAGTTTGGTGTTGGCAGGTGGGTGTAGTCACTAATACAGTGTGGTGTTGGCAGGTGGGTGTGGTCACTAACAGTGTGATGTTGGCAGGTGGTGTGATCACTAATACAGTGTGGTTTTGGCAAGTGGGTGTGGTCACTAACAGTGTGGTATTGGTAGGTGGGTGTGGTCACTAATACAGTGTGGTGTTGGCAGGTGGGTGTGGTCACTGGCAGTGTGGTGTTGGCAGGTGGGTGTGGTCACTAGCAGTGTGGTGTTGTTGGTAGGTGGTGTGGTCCCCGCTAATTCCAATTAGTGGTGGCAGGTGGGTGTGGTCACTAACAGTGTGGTGTTGGCAGGAGAGTGTGGTCACTAATACAGTGATGTGCTGGCAGGTGGGTGTGGTCACTAATACAGTGTGGTGTTGGGAGGTGGGTGTGGTCACTAAGAGTGTGGTGTTGGAAGGTGGGTGTGGTCACTAATACAGTGTGGTGTTGGCAGGTGGGTGTGGTCACTAATACAGTGTGGTGTTGGAAGGTGGGTGTGGTCACTAATACAGTGTGGTGTTGGCAGGTGGGTGTGGTCACTAACACAGTGTAGTGTTAGCAGCGTGGGTGTGGTCACTAACAGTGTGCTGTTGGCAGGTGGGCGTAGTCACTAATTCAGTGTGGCATTAGCAGGTGGGTGTGGTTACTAACACAGTTGTGGTGTTGGCAGTATGGGTGTGGTCACTAAGAGTGTGGTGTTAACCGTCTGTTAAACCAGCCGGTTTTCCTTATGTAAGTACAAACACCGGCTAGTAGGCGAAGCTCAAGGTGTGAAAAGCGTGTGGCTCATTTGGCTTGTTGAGGAATGTCAACTTACAAGGATGGAAGTTTTGACACAACATATTTGCTGGCCTGTCCTTACAGGTCATTTGTGGTCGCTAACAGTGTGGTGCTGGCAGGTGGGCGTGGTTACCAGTACAGTGAAGCGATGGCAGGTGGGTGTTGGGTTTACCAATACAGTGTGGGTGTTGGTAGGGTGGGTGGTCAACACTGGGCAGTGTGTGGTGTTGGCAGGTGGGCGTGGTCAGCCAATAAGTGTGGTGTTGGGCGTAAGTGTGGTCACCATCACAGTGTGGTGTTGGTAGGTGGCAGGTGATCATCACCAACAGTGGTGTTGGCAGGCGGGTGGTCAACAGTGGTGTTGAAGGTGGGTAAATACCACACAGTGGTGTTGGCAGGTGGTGTGGTCACTACACAGTGTGGTGACGGCAGGTGGGTGTGGGTCACAATACAGTGGTGTTGGTAGGTAGGTGGTCAACAGTGTGGTGTTGGCAGGTGGGTGGTCACTACTACAGTGTGATGATGCAGGTGGGTGTCACCAATACAGTGTGGTGTTGGCAGGTGGGTGGTCACTACAGAGTGTGGTGTTGGCAGATGGGTGTGGTCACCACACAGTGTGGTGCTGGGCAAAAAGTCACCAGGCACAGTGTGATGATGGCAGGTGGGTGTTGGTCACCACTGGTGTGTGGTGTTGGCAGGTGGTGTATCACCTGAAGTGTGTGTGTTGAAGGTGGGTGGTCAAATTAACGGAGTGTGGTGGCAGGTGGGTGGTCACCATCACAGCGTGGTGCTGGCAGGTGGGTGGTCACCAACATTGTGGTGCTGGAAGGCGGGCGTGGTCACCGCCAGTGAGGTGCTGCGCGCGGGTGGTGGTCACTAACACAGTGTGTGGTGTTGGTGGTGGTGTGGTCACTACTGGCAGTGTGTGTTGGCAGGTGGGTGTGGTCACTAATACAGTGTGTGGTGTTGAAGCTGTGGGTGGTCACAGTGTGGTGTTGGCAGGTGGGTTTGATCACCAACAGTGGTGCTGGCAGCAGGGTGTGGTTACTACAGTGAAAAGCGGGCGTGGGTGGCCTGGACACAGAGTGGTGTTGGCAGGTGGCGTGGGTCACCACAGTGTGGTGACGGCAGGCGGGTGGTCACCTGGACCAGCGTGGCGTTGGTAGGCAGGTGGCCTGCCAAACAGTGTGAGTTGGCGGGTGGTCACCAATGCTGGAAAGTGTGATGATGGCAGGTGGGTGTTGTCACCACACAGAGTGGTGCTGGCGGTGGTGGGTGTGGTCACCACAGAGTGTGGTGTTGGCAGATGGGTGTGGTCATACCATCACAGTGTGGTGCTGGCAGGGTGGGTCTCAACAGTGTGGTGTTGGTGGTGGGTGTGGTCACTAACAGTGTGGTGTTGAAGGTGGTGTATTACCACAGAGTGTGGTGTTGGTAGATGGGTGTGGTCACCACAAAGTGTGAGCCAGAGTAGTCACCAATGAATGTGGTGTTGGTAGGCGGTCAGGTTACCAACAGTGTGGTGTGTTGGCAGGTGTGGAGCGGTCACCACTGAAAGTGTGGTGTTGGAAGGTGGGTGTATCACCATCATTGAATGTGGTGTTTGGCGCAGGTGGCGTGGTCACCAACAGCGTGGTGCTGGCGGCAGGGTGTGGTTACCATCACAGTGGTGTTGGCTGGTGGGTGGCTGGCAGGTGGGTGTGTCACTATCAGTGTGGTGTTGGCAGCTGGGTTTGGTCACCAACAGGTGAAGTTGGGTTGTGGCGACAACTAACACAGTGTGGTGCTGGCAGGTGTTGTGGTCACTCAATGACAGTGTGGTGCCAAGGGGGTGTAGTCACCAAAGGCGTCACACAAACAGTGGTGTTGGCAGGTGGGTGTGGTCACAAACAGTGTGGTGTTGGAAGGGTGGTCACTAACAGTGTGGTGTTGGCAGGTGGGGCGTGGTCACTAACAGTGTGGTGTTGCAGGTGGGTGTGGTCACCATCATAGTGTGGTTTGGCTGGTGGGAGTGGTCACTCAACAGTGTGGTGTTGGAAGGTGGGTGTGGTGGTCACTAACAGTGTGGTGTTGGAAGGTGGGTGTGGTCACCAATACAGTGTGGTGTTGCAGGTGGGTGTGGTCACCAACAGTGTGTGTTGGCTAGGTGGGTGTACACAATACAGTGTGGTGTTGGCAGGTGGGTGTGGTCACCAACAGTGTGGTGTTGGAAGGTGAGTGGTCACCACACAGAGGAGGTGCTGGCAGGTGGGTGTGGTCACTGGCGTGTGGTGTTGGCAGGTGGGTGTGGTCACCAATACAGTGGTATTGCAGGTGGATGGATCACCAACCAGTGTGGTGTTGGCAGGTGGGTGTATCTAATCATGGAGAGCGATTGGCAGCTGGGGTCATCACCAATGGTGGTGCTGGCAGGGTGTCGTCACTAACAGTGTGGTGCTGGAAGGTGGTGTGGTTATTACTGCAGGTGCGCAGTGTGGTCACCAACAGTGTGGTGTTGGCAGGTGGGTGGTTACCAATACAGTGTGGTTTTGGCAGGTGGAGTGGTCACTAACAGTGAGGTTTTAGGTGGGTGTGGTCACCACATAGTGTGGTGTTGGCAGGTGTGGTCACAAATACAGTGTGGTGTTGGAAGGTGGGTGTGATGACAACACGTGAGGTTTTGCAGGTGGGTGTGATCACTAACAAAGTGTGGTGTTGGCAGGTGGTGTGGCCTAATACAGTGTGGTGTTGGCAGGTGGGTGGTCACTAACAGTGTGGTGTTGGCAGGTGGTCACTAACAGTGTGGTGTTGAAGGTGGGTGGTCACTAATACAGTGTGGTGTTGGCAGGTTGGTGTGATCACCAACAGTGTGGCATTGGATAGGGGTGTGGTCACTAACACAGTGAGGTGCTGGCAGGGTGTGATCACCAATACAGTGGTGTTGGCAGGTGGGTGTGGTCACCAACAGTGAGGAGCTGAAGCTGGGGTGGTCAACTATATAAAGTGTGCTGCTGGCAGGTGGGTGTGGTCACCAACAGTGTGGTGTTGGAAGGTGGGTGGGTCACTAATACAGCGAGGTGTTGGCAGGTGGGTGGTCACTAACAGCTGTGGTTTTGAGTTGCGTGGTCACTAACAGTAAAGTGTTGCAGGTGGGTGTGGTCACTACAGTGTGGTGTTGCAGGCTGGTGTGGTCACACAGTGTGGTGTTGGGTGGTCAACAGGTGGTGTTGGCAGGGGTGTGGTCACTAACACTGTGACGTTTTGGCAGGTGGGTGTGGTCACCAGCTGGCAGGTGGGTGTGGTCACTATTACCGTGAGGGTGTTGCAGGTGGGTGGTCACCAATACAGTGTGGTGTTGGCAGGTGGGTGTAGTCACTACACAGTGTGGTTTTGCAGGTGGGTGGATTACTAAGGTGTGGTGTTGGCAGGAGTGTGAAAACCAATACAGTGAGGTGGTGGTGCGGGTGTGGTCACTAACAGTGTGGTGTTGGCAGGAGGTGTGGTCACCTATTACAGGCAGGTGCAAGTGTGTGGGTGGTCACTGGTCACAGTGTGGTGTTGGCAGGTGGGTGTGGTCAATTAACAGAGTCTTTGTGTTGGTAGGTGGGTGTAGTCATCAACAGTGTCGCAGGTTGTTAGGGTGGGTGTATCACCAACAGTGGATGGCAAGGTGGTGGGTGTGGTCACCAATATGTGGTGCTGGGCTGGGTGTGGCACGCACCACAGTGTGGTGTTGGAAGGTGGGTGCGGTCACCAACAGTGTGGTGTTGGCAGGTGGGTGTGGTCACCACACAGCGTGGCTGGCAGGGTGGGTGTGGATCAACAGTGGTCTTGCTCAGGCGTGGTCACTAAAAATGTGGTGCTGCCGAGCGTGGTCTCCAAACGTAGTCTGGTGCCAGTAGCGGCGTGGTCACCAATACAGTGTGGTGCTGGCAGGTGGGCGTGGTCACTACTACAGCAGGTGGCAGGGGTGTGGTCACCTGAAATACAGGAGAAAGCCGCAGGTGGGCAACGCCCATCACAGTGAGGCAGGTTGGCAGGCGTGACGGAAGACAGTGTGGTGGCTGGCAGGTGGCCAGCGTGGTGGGTTGGCAGGTGGTTACCAACAGTGTGGTAGCGCTGGCAGGTGGCGTGGTCACCACGGTGTGGAAGCAGGCGGTGGTCACTATCAGCAGAAGCGTTGGCAGCAGGGTATCACTAACAGTGACAGGTTGATATGCGTGTAACACCCAGTCGGCCATTTGAGGTTAAGAGAGGTGCACATTTGAACACAGTGAGGCTGGCAGGTGGGGTGGAACAATAACAGAAAGGTGTGTGTGTGAGAAGCTAGAGAGGGGTGTGGCTCACGAACACAAAGGAGAAAGTTGGCAGGTGTATCACGAATACAGTGTGAGGTTAAGAGGTGTGGTTGCTACTACAGTGTGAAAGTTGGTAGGTGGGTGTATTACAATACAGGAAGTTGGTGTATTACCAACAGGTGAGATAAGAAGCTAAAATAAATTTACCACAGTGAGAGGTTGGCAGGTGGGTGGTCACTAACACAGTGGAAGTTGGTAGGTAAAAATACCAGCAGTGGTGTTGGGTGGTCACTAAAGGAGGTGGTGTTGCAGGAGTGTGGCTCACCTGAATTAACAGGAGGTGGTGTAGAGGGTGGTCACTAATATTAAGTGTGAGCTGGCACGCAAGTAATGCACCATTATAGTGGTGCTGGCAGGCGAGTGCATTACTGAAGGCGGGTGCTGGGTTGCGGTGCGGTCACACTGAGTGGGTAAATAAGAGGCGAAGCTTCAACAGTAGGTTGGTGTGGTTACCAAT